ACCAGCGTGCCAGGCATTTTTTTCGCTCCAGGTAACGACAATGATTGCTTCTGTGGGTGGACAAACTTCGCTCCAATTTCCTCGCATGCCTTTGTTCTGTCTGGGTTGTTTGGTAACTACTGGCCAGTTGGGTACTTCCGACCAGAAAGGCAACTAAAGAGTTGGTTCTACGATCTCAATTCCAGTAGAGATTCCCTCCCCAATCTCATTGAGGGTTCCCCATGCATGGTAAGTTATGCTCTCCTCTTTGAATTGATCTAACATATAAGTTTACTTCATCGCCAATCTCTTTTACGTTGTTAGTTATTCACATATTTCCTTTCCCTTCCTTTTGCCAATGAATCCCAAGTTGGTCGTAATTCAATTACTCAACTATCATATTGTGCATGTTTCTCACTTAATCGGATGTAATTTTCCATATATACCGTCTGTCAAAGAGCAAGCTGGCTGAGTAGTTGTGTATATAACCTTCTAATCTTCTCATTTTAATGGCCAGCAACATCATATCATACCCAATCGATTGATTGTAGATGCATGCATTATGATCTCATAAAATGGCCTGCTCTACACAAGTTTTTTCAACAACTCTATTCAAATTATGTGGTCATTGCATCAATATATGGAACCTGAAATACGCAGCAGTTGGAAGAAAAGTGCTTAAGCTAGCTAGCTTTCCAGGAAAACCAATCTCACTTCTTAGATGTTTGAAGAAGCCCAGTAGCAGAATTTTATTATTAGCTAGCCATTTGCAATTATAATCATGAAGCAGTAGTATATGGCCTCTGCTCAGGCAAGAGTAGTTCAGGCGACATTTTGATTTTTCCGCCAGACGCTTTACACCTAGAGTGATTATCATTCTACAAACTATGGTCTATTGGAGGTACAGTGGGATCCGAGAAATATGTTTTAGAATGTGCTTAACTCTCACTTGCTATGTGGGCTTTCTGTGTCATGGTTGCGTGTTTTCTGCATAATGTCAGAGTTGCATTTGGTGTTTAATTTCCAATGAATTATCCTATTACATTTTGCTTTTGCATCTAAGTAAATAGTTAATGGGTTTCCTTTAGACTTCAGTCCTCGTGATTTCTCAAACTACGCTAGATAGAGTTAGTTAATTAAATTGGATAGATAATAGTTAATGGCTTTTCTCCGTACTTGGAAAGCACAACAGGGGTACCCTCCACAAACATAATGCATGCGGACCTTGCTCTTTGGCTAAAATTCCTTCTATTTGTTCTGTAATCTAACTTATGAATCTATCAACAAATTTTTAAGAAAAGCCATGCGTGCAGTTCCCTTCATTTGTTTAGAGGTCGTTTGATGTTTCGCGTTAAACTACATTGCTCATATGCATTATGTATTTATCAGGGCCGTCCCATGATAATAGAAGGCCCTATTCGACAATTTAAAATGTAGCCCCAAAACATTTTTCATAAATTTTAAAAAATAAAATTATTAAATAATAATAAAAATGACAACTTCAGAAAATGATTGGAAAATAATAATATTATCTACGCTTAGAAATTAACTTTTTCAAATTTTTGGGTTGACATAATTAGAATTGGGTGTATACAATTCATATTTAGGCGTTGGATATTTTTGGGAAATTGAGAATTTTGGGAAAAGAGAAGAAGATTAAATACCTAACTGTTAGTTTTGATTTAACAAACAAGCCGCAGCTCAGTGGTTGCGTCTTATTTTGATGAAAAGGATAGGTCCATGGTTCGATTCTCCTCCTGCGCCTTTGTGTACTTTGGGTTTTTTTGTGTGTGTGTGGGCCTCGCCAGCCGAAGGGGTTCGAGTATGGGCCTCGCCATCCCAACGGGGCCTCCGGACTAAGGGTTTATGTGGCGAGCCCAAGGTAGCATCCATACTCTATTGATTATGTGGGCCTCCAGACTTAATTGATTATGAGGCCCCAATAAAATTGAGGCCCTGTGTTGTGGGTCTGACTAGCACAGGGCCTGGGCCAAACCAGTGTAAAAGTTGCGGAAATAAAACTTGCTATTAGCATTCGCAATAGCAATGCTAACTTATGTGCCAAAACGACACCACCAATTAAAGTCGTGGCCGCATCAAGCTCCAAAGGGAATTACGAAACTTTGTTTCTCATTGATGTTGCAAAGTGTAAACAATGATAAAAACATGACGGAACAGGATGAGGCATAGCGAAAGTAGTACACATGTCCTGCCCCACGCTATTGTGGTATGCTAATTCCCACTCCAAAGAAGTCGGAATAGATAGATCGCATGAATAGAGTCGGAATCTACTATCACTACATATTCTGTGGCAAAGAAAGTGAAATCAAACATGCACAAAAATCATAGGCGATAAAACATTATAAATGTTACGCCGGCCAAAGGCCGAGCACAACGCTAGTAGAGCGTCGAAGGGGTTAAGGGAGGAAGAGCGGATGCGATAGAGAGGAGGGTGAGATATCTTATTGGTGATGAAGCCATACTTGTCGATGCCGAAGAAGAGATGGTTGCGGAGGTGTTAAGAGTGTGTGCGGAGGAGGGTATGTCCGTGGAGAGGTTTGCTTTTATTTTATTTAGTTTTCTTACTTCAGTTGAAAAGCAAACAAAAATAATATTAAATAATTTGACCCAGTAATTTATTTGCCACGTTATAGTCAACTAACAGTTAACCTGATGGAAAGTTAACAATTTGGCTAATAAATTATTTTAAAAGATTGATTATTATTTTGTTTAAAATGAAATGTTCTATTAATAAATTGTATTTATCCAAAAATTTCTTGTCAAACCTTCGATATAGTACTGTGTTTTAAGCTTAGGGGTCGTTTGCTTCGTGGATTTGGTACCCAAATCCATCTATCATGGATTTAAGGAAAATCCTTCGTTTGCTTGCATTTCTTTTAGAGACCAAATCCGTGGGACCCGTGGATTTTAAGGGTCCCAATCCGTGGATCCCACGGACTTGTAAATCTCACATATTGATGTGGAATTTGTAACATGTCATAAATCCATATGAAATTTTACCCATATACCCTTATGAACTTTTAAAATTCCAAGTTTGTCCTCACATTTACCTATTGTAGGGCTGAAAATTGGCCCGACCCGCTCCTGACCCTGTCTGACCCGCCCCTGAAGGGTCAAGATGTATAACTGACCCGCCCTGACCCTGTTTCTTTCATGACCCTGTCTGACCCTTTAGGGTCGGGGCGGGTCAGGAAGGGTCGGGTCAGTGGGTCGACCCTAATAAATAGACTACTTTTCTAAAAATTACAATTTGGTACCCGAATTTATTTTTTCTTACATTTTAGTACCTAAAATTTATTTTTTTTACAAATAAGTCCCTAAAATTTGATGGTAAAATTACGTTTTGGTACCCAAAATTTTTTATTTTTACAATTTAGTACCTAAACTTATAAAATTTTACAAATAGGTCCAACATGTTTGTATGATGCTAAGGGTCATAGGGTCAAAAAGTGACCCGGCCCTAAATTGACCCGACCCTATCCGACCCTGACCCGACCCTAAATTGACCCTATAGACAAACTGACCCAGCCCGACCCTGAGGGTCGGGGCGGGTCGGGGCGGGTCAGTGGGTTTTAAGGGTCAAACTTACACCCCTAACCTATTGTACATTATAAATAATCAATTAATTAACAACAAAGAAATAATATACCAGGTACCAAACCTGCAAAGAATGCTGATGGGCTAGCATTGGACTGCGAACGCGCGAGAGCGAAAGATGAACTGAGACGACGGGTTGTACGCGAGAGAAAGAGAGAGAGAAAGACCACAATTTTCGGCGATGAAACTATTCTGGCTGGGTTCGATCTTTAATATCATGTGAAGAAAAGACAGAGTTCAGTGGAAGAGTATTTCCTACCCACAAGATGTCAAACAAGAAGTGTACTCTATTGAATGTACGACAAGTATACAATGGAACAATATAAAGAATCACCCCTAGCTTGAAGGAGGATTGATGAACCACCTAGGGGAACCATTCCTCTCCCTTCGGTCGAGTATATTGCATTCCTCAAGAAAGACCATCAATGATGACGACTCCCATCGGAGGCAAGAAAAGAATTGGGCAGAAGGTCCCATCCCTGGATACTAGGTATATGGCAACAAGGAAAGCGGCTAATTGACTCCATCTCTGAAGGCGCACCATCTTGGGTACCATGATTTTTCGTTGTTTAAATACCGCTTAAAGCATTCTATATGCAAAAAAAAAAAAAAAAAGGCTTACCACATGCGAATTGAAGAAGCTTATTTCATTCATTTCCCTTACTAGCTTTAGTAGCATAGATAAGGCCTTCTAGGCATGAAATAGGGGAACTCCACTTCTCCGGCATTAGCCACAGATTTTGTTAGTGAGATAAAGATCTTGTTGTGGAAATTCCCAACCGGATGAATCTTGATTCGATGTAGCACAGGATGGAGTGGGGAATTCAGTTGACAAGGTCGCCTCAACAAACAATATTTTTTCATCAAATACATAATATACTTGATATTTAGGTACCAAATACAATACTCAAATCCCACAAGTAAACAACACCTAAATCGCTTAGAAATTTACCTTCACTCAAACGGCTGACGGCCCCTAAGTCTTAGAAATTTACATTTGGAAATTCACCCAACAATTTCAAAATTCAAATGAGCTCCAACGTCTTAAAAGAAACCAAGTATAAAAACATAAAAAATAAAAAAAGTTCTTTGATTCAACCAGCGGAACGCAACACTTCAAGTCTTCAACCGTCACTTTCTTAAAAAAAAAAAAAGTCTTCAACCGTCTTCTTCCCTTGCCCGTTTGTTCCTCTCTCTGCCGGTCTCGGATTCAATTCCATTCGAAGAATCACCGCCATTGTTGCTTTCTCTGCCTTTTGATCCTCCGGCCAAACGCTACAATCTCTACGAAGGCACGTCAAGGTCAAAATTGAAACTCTGCCGCCGTTCGCTTATTCTTTCCAGGAATAGGTCAGATCCTCGCATTTTGATACGAAAAAGCTAGGAGGAAAGGGTTGGTGAAGATGTCGACAATGGAGAGCTTGATCGGACTAGTCAACAGAATACAGAGAGCTTGCACTGTGTTAGGAGATCATGGCGGTGGAGAAAACATGTCTCTTTGGGAGGCTCTTCCCTCTGTCGCCGTCGTCGGTGGCCAGGTCCTTCTTCTGTTTTCTCTTCGTCTTCCGTACTTCTCTTTTCTGACTGCTCGCCTGTCCATCCCTTCTTGTGGTCTGAGCGGATCTTGTGTGTGAAATGTAGAGTTCGGGGAAATCATCCGTGTTGGAAAGCGTGGTCGGCAGAGATTTCCTGCCTCGTGGATCTGGTAAGCTTCCGTCTCCTTTCTCTGTACGACGATTAGCTTACAGTGCAAACGGCGTTCTTCTGTTTGTGGGCGAAGTTGGAGGGAGGATATTTTTTACTGTGTAGCTTCTCTTACGAGCTTTCACTGATTCGTTGAAGCTTGGAAAAGATGGTTTCTTTCTGATTCCTTGACCCGCTGCTCGTTAGCCGGATCTGACTTGTTTGGTATTTTCACGTCTAGGCATTGTTACGCGGAGGCCGCTAGTGCTGCAACTTCATAAAATAGAGGAGGGACGCTCTGATTATGCCGAGTTTCTTCATCAACCGAGAAAGAAGTGGACTGATTTTGGTATGTAAAAAACACTTTGTGTTGCTTTCTTTGATCCTTGAACCATTAGACCTGGGCACATAGCTAGTTAAGGTCATCACCTTGTTGGAGTGCTTGAAGCAATCCTAAGCTTGGTTAGTTGTTTGTTTACAGGGTTTTGAATGGTTGCCTTGTATCTCTGTAAATACAAACTAAACAGTCATTTGGAAATCTTCAGAACCATTTTTCTCTAAAGAGTTGGTGTAGGTGATAATTAATTTTCCCCTTTCTATGCCTGTTTGATCATTGATGTCATCACCAGCTTTGTCGAGGTTTTTATGTTAATGGTTCATGCTGTTGAAGAGAATACGTATTTAAAACAATTACATTACCTTATGTGATCAATTTTTTTTGGTTTTAATCAAGTTCCCATTGTATCTTCTTCGCCATATAGGGAGTGTGATCTGTGCTTAAATTTTTAGTGCTAAAATCAGAGTACATGCTCTTGATGCCGTGAACAGAAGTCGGTCAGAAATGAGTCCCCATGACTTGTGTTTTTAACTGATTCTTATAGTCATTCAAGTTAGGTTCAGGGGTTCAGAATCCTCTGTGTTCATGTAGCTCTTTCATGGGTTATTAGACTGGTGTATCTGTGTAGCTTTAATCCGAGATCACTAGTCTGCACTGAATGTTTGTCTTGGATCTGGGCATGGTTGCTTTACATATGTGCATCTGTACCGAATAACTCTTTAGATGGACCTGGGATCACAAGTACCATGATACATGTTCACCAAAACACTTGTTTTGTTTCTTATTGTTGTTTAAGATGTTTGTATGTGTTAATCAGTTTCGTTGGAGTTATGACAGCTCTACCATCATTTTACTGTTGACTGAGATTCTCTCCTTTTTATGCAGCCGCTGTGCGGAAGGAGATCCAAGATGAAACCGATCGAATAACTGGGAAGACGAAGGCAATATCTAACATTCCAATTCAATTGAGCATATATTCCCCAAATGGTGTGTAATTGGATTTTTCTCCTCACTGATAGAAACGTTTATTGAAATTTTCGGTCTCATGTATGTGTAGCAAGTTAATGTTGTTTTAGCTTCCTCTGATTAGATTAGCTTTGGTTATTGTAAATGTTTCACTTTCCACAATTTCCTTCACTGCACTTATAAAAAAATAAACAATTTTCTTCCCTGTTTCCTCTTTTTGTAAGTTACATAATATGTTTGCATATAAATTCCATAAACTCTTGTCTGTTGTGGTCTTGACTTGTCATTCTGTTGTTTGTGCCAGTTGTCAATTTAACCCTCATAGATCTTCCCGGGTTGACAAAAGTTGCTGTAGGTAATTACTCTAATGAAAGCATTGCCGTACAAGTATCTCATTATGTTTCTGTTAAACAATGACCAGACACTGTAGTGATGGAATTGTTTTTTTAACATCTACAGAGGGTCAGCAGGAAAGCATTGTTCAAGATATTGAAAATATGGTCCGTTCTTATGTTGACAAGGTGAGAAGTAGTAGTCTTTCCGTATATCTTTTGGAAATTCAGAAGAAAAAAAGAAGAAGAGAGAAGTTGAATGTCAAAGAAGAATCTTATGATTGATAAAAAAGAAGAATCTTATGCCTTAATGTCCTTGGAGTTATAAGTCTTCAATTCCTTTTATGGGCGAGTCTTTTGGTGCTGACATGCCAGATTAGTTTAACAATGAAAGTAACTTGGTTTTTTGAGGTTTCCAAGGTTGTAAACTTTCTAGTCTTTGAGAAGTAGTAGTCTTTCCGTATATCTTAGGCCTTAATGTTCCTGGAGTTATGTGTCTTCAATTCCTTTTATGGGCGTGTCTTTTGGTGCTGACATGCCAGATTATTTTAACAATGAAAAGTAACTTGGTTTTTGAGGTTTCCAAGGTTGTTAACTGTCTACTCTTTGAATGCTATTAATACTATTGGCTGGTGGACTTATAAGGTTTTGAAGATATAATGAGTATTAGCTTGAAGTTAGTTTGAAGGGAGTGGGATTGTAGTGAAGCACTTGATTCGTAAAGTCAATTTTTCTTGTGCCGTTGTGCTACTATCCTGCTTATGTATTTAGTAGATCTAACTTTTGACTCTGATTTGGTAGCCCAATTGCATCATATTGGCTATTTCTCCAGCAAATCAAGACATTGCAACATCAGATGCCATAAAACTTGCACGAGAAGTTGATCCAACAGGTAAAAATATTTAGGCTGACTGTTCTGCAATCTAATGGTTCGTTAGGTGGACTGTATTTGAAAATTGTTGTTTTTGGTCTGCTACTTAGGTGAAAGAACGTTTGGTGTCTTGACAAAGCTTGATTTGATGGATAAAGGAACAAATGCTTTGGATGTAAGGCCTTATTATCCTCTATTTATCAATTCCTAGGAACACAATGAATTTCTTTGTGAAATTCACTAATGGTTCTATGTGTGGTTAAGGTTCTTGAAGGACGATCATACAGATTGCAACATCCATGGGTTGGAATTGTTAATCGTTCTCAAGCTGATATCAACAAGAATGTTGACATGATTATTGCCCGTCGAAAGGAGCGTGAATATTTTGAAACAAGCCCGGAATATGGTCATTTGTCTAGTAAAATGGGGGCAGAATATCTTGCAAAGCTTTTGTCCAAGGTATTTTCACGAAAATTCTATTTTAAGTGTTCTATTGTGTATCAACTTTCCTTTGGTTGATTCCCTTACAGTGTTTCTGTTTCATGAATTCAGCATCTAGAGACAGTTATTAGGCAGCGCATACCAAGCATCATTGCTTTGATAAACAAGACAATAGATGAGATTAATGCAGAGTTGGATCGTGTTGGAAGGCCTATTGCAACGGACTCAGGGGTAATATCTTGCACGAGTGCACTTTGTCACCTCTTGCAACCAAGACTACTCTCGTGTCATGTTTACGTACCAACTGTTTGTCTTTGCTTTTTTGCAGGCTCAACTATACACCATTCTTGAATTATGTCGTGCATTTGATCGTGTATTTAAAGAGCACCTAGATGGAGGGTAAATTTCTTTAGTGCTGTTGCTTTCGTAATATGCTTTGACATAATATAAGGAAGGCTTCTCCTGTTTATTCACAATTAGTAGAAACATCTGGAGCATTTACATAGCGGACAAATTTGCTTGTCAATGCACAGATTATTTCCTTTAGTTTGCCTTGTTGCCTTGGTAAAAGGCTCAAGTCTATTTCATGGATAATGATATTTTTCGTGATTAATATTTATTGTCCTACATGTAAAAGGAAGATTTGGAAGGAAAGGAAATATGCTTTAAACCACCTGTTTTTTTGACATGATTGTTTATAAGATTGTGGCCAATATTGCAAGATATACATTCACATATCTGAATATATTTTGGACATTTCGCTTTCTCTGGGAATGATTACATGATTTACTAATGGGGGTTTACCGTAGGCGTCCTGGAGGAGATCGAATCTATGGGGTGTTCGATCATCAACTACCTGCTGCATTAAAGAAGTTGCCATTTGATCGTCATCTCTCAACGAAGAATGTGCAGAAAGTTGTTTCAGAAGCTGATGGTTACCAGCCACACTTAATAGCTCCAGAGCAGGGTTACAGAAGGCTGATTGATGGATCCATCGGCTTTTTCAAAGGCCCAGCTGAAGCCTCTGTTGATGCTGTAATTCTCTTTCTTATGCCTTGAATAATTGTTTGATATAGTGGCCACCAAATATAAATAGGAATTTATTGCAATCATCCTTAGTCCTTATTAATGATAGATAATTAACGTGTGCGATATAGATCTGATGTTCATGGTTTGTCATCTATGCTCTAAAGTTGTATGCCATCAAGTGGGAAAAAAGCTGTAGCCATTAGTTATGGTCTGCATGCATGTCCTCAAAAACTTAGTCTCCCTTTTGCTGGGGAAAGAGGATACAGAGCATATTTTCAGAACTCATTAAGTATTTTTTCGATATTGAATTCTGAGATGTATATTTCACTATTTTACTTGTACATTTATCATATGGAAAAACCTCCTTTGTTAATGGTGGTGCATTACTGGTTATTGCTGTTTTATGTGTTACCATCAAATCAATATGCTACTTTTCAGACCGTGGTGCATCTATGCTTTCACTGTCATAGTTTGTGTAGGCTCTGTCACACTTATTAGCTTAGTGTTGGAATATAGGTGAGACATGTTGATCTTTCTGTAACATACAGCTATGGAATAGAGCAACAGGAAATGTTTGGATGACTCTTCTTGCATCTATACTGTAGCTACCTGAATGACCCCTCTGCGCTTTTGCTATACATTTGTGTGGAAGATGAAATCATATAAGTGAAACAACTAGACTTTTCATATACCTAGACACTTTGGTTGTCCGTTTGTTTATTCTTTGTAGGAAGTGGCATCTTGAACAACTATGTAGTCAGAATGACTCCTGATAGCAGTCATGTTTTGTCATTCACACTTGTTTGATCTATTTTTAAGTTATCTTTTACATGAAATATGCAGGTGCATTTTATTTTGAAGGAACTTGTACGGAAGTCAATAGCCGAAACAGAGGTAAGAAATCCTTTGTTGCAAGAACCATTTTCAAGAACTGTTCGTATTAGGCTGCATCTGATTTGAGTTTGATTTTCATGTTTGGGTTGCATGCAAATGGAAATAAGAATCTAGTGTACGTTTTGACCTACATATAGAATTGGAGACATGATGGCTTCAACCATAAAATAAAGGAAGAAAAATATGGAAATTGTTGTGGAACATAGGGATGGCTAGAAGCAACTTTTGCACATTAATTCTCTTTCTATCAGCAACTCTATTTATTTCATATGTCGATGATGGTGCTGTACTAGTAGTGCATACTATTGCCAGTGGTTTTGATGATGTCTGCAGTTATCACTGGTAGGGTGACGAGTCTCTTTAGATAAAACTCCTGTTTGGATAAACTTATCATCTATGCTAAAATTCTTGTCTTCCTCTTGTCGTAGAGTGGTCTCTCTTTGTGTTGCTTATTGTGACATATAGTGAGACTAAATCTTTTATTTAGCAGATGCTCTTGCTTGTTACACGGACTATACCTTGAGTAGGTTGAAACGACTAGATTATGAACATTATGTCGATTTGAACCATTAAGATCTGAAATTTTTAGGTTCTCTGACCTCCTTAGAATTACTCGTCACTCATTGCATGAATGATCCCTCCCGTATGACCTAAAGTTGATTAACTCATGACGATGCAGGAGTTGAAGCGTTTTCCAACACTCCAGTCTGACATTGCTGCTGCTGCTAATGAATCCCTGGAAAGATTCCGTGACGATAGCAGAAAAACAGTTCTGCGACTTGTGGACATGGAGTCTAGCTACCTGACTGTGGAATTTTTCCGTAAACTTCAAATGGAGCCAGACAAGCCCACGAACTCAAAAGAAGCCCCAAACCCAGCTGTCCCGGCGATTGATCGTTACAATGATCATCATTTCAGAAGAATCGGTGAGCAAGTTTATATATATATATATTTTTTTTTTGTAGTGCTCATTGTTTCCCTTCTTTAGTCAAGCATTCACCAAATACACTTCTTCCAAGTGTTTTGACCTATCTGCTTGGTCAGTTGGGAATGTGAACTTGTAGTGTTAGAAATTTATCGAACTTAAATGAGTGAGATGCCTAATATTTCTGTATCTTTAGATGGAGAAATAAATGGATTTGACATGTGGCGTACTCTGTTTCAGGATCAAATGTGAATGCTTACATTAACATGGTTTGCGATACGTTGCGCAACTCGGTTCCCAAGGCTGTGGTGTATTGTCAGGTCCGAGAGGCCAAGAGATCTCTTCTTAATCACTTCTACACTCAAATAGGAAGAAGAGAGGTAATGCTTCTTTAATCTCTATTGGCTTTATCATCGCCTTAGTTTCTACGTTTCTGTACTCTTCTCTTATGTACAGAGCCGTGCACATGGATTTATTTGTCATAATGGTTAGGGAACATGAGATAGTAGCTGGAAGACCAAATGTCTATGTTAAGATGTGAGATCACTGTTCTACAGTAGTCTGTCTGTCCTTGGCATAACATATATTATACAAGGAGAGATGGTAGTAGCCAGTGCAAAAATTGCTGAACGATGAAATGTTTGTCTTGCTTCCGGTTCATTACTTAAGGTTCTCCCAAGTTAAACTGAAAAAGACACTTCTGCAAATACACATGATATTGTCATTTGGTTCTTTACAGAAGGAACAGCTTGGTGCGATGTTGGATGAAGACCCACAGTTGATGGAAAGGAGGACACAGCTAGCAAAGAGGCTCGAACTGTACAAATCAGCACGGGACGAAATCGATTCAGTCGCATGGAAATGAGAGAAGCTGTACACGTTCTACTGATCCGCGCACTTGGGTTCTCTCCTGATTGAGATGCCCACATTGACTGCGGTTTTACTAATTCGTACTATTCTTTCTCAATGCTCTCGCGCACCACTCCGATTATTTTGCGGCCAATTCTTGCTTGTTAGAAGAGTAGCTGGATTGTACAACAACACACAACAGGTCAGTCAGTTAGTCAATACGATGTTGATGATGCATTGGGAAAGGAGTTTTTGGGATGGTCTGGTGCTGTTGCGACTGAGTGGTGAAAATGTGTACCCTTTGTGTAGTGTGTATGATTGAGTGGTAATCTACCTTGGTACTTTTTTTTGCTATGATAGTGTTTAGCAGTGGAGATTGAAAGGTCTCAGGGTCCCACTTCTTTGGAAGATTGTTGTGGGAGAGACATAAGATTGGGTGAATATGGATTTGGTGTCTAAATTCTAAACTCTACACATGACAATAGTAATGCCACCAGCCTATTTGATATTAGTTTTTTCTTCTTGTTCTGTACGGGTAATGAGGGAGTGTGTATTTTGATAAAGGATTGTTGAAATCATCTGCTTCAATGAGTGGTACTATACTACTATTGGTATTGATACGTGATCCCAGCTCAGGTGGCCGGCCGGCATTGTGTTTTCTTGGTTGATAGTGGGGACTGGATTTTAACATCTACACTATGCATTGTTTTTATTTTTTCATAGGAATGACACAATAATTAAAATCTTGATCTTCATTGGAAAAAATTAGTTTTTCAAAATAACCGACACACCTCTGCCAAAATTTTCGTGAGAAATCCAAGTTTTGTCTATAAAAAGTTTCTAATACGGGACATCCAAACACCCTCGATAATCGTAATCGACGCATCTTCGTTATATTGCAAGAAATTTGTTGCCATAGACCTACTAAAATATGTCAATATAAGAGTTGTCGGATTTCAGACTAGCTAGTTAGTTGGTTGTATGAGAGTAAACAATTACTTAGATGCTAGTACTTAGCAAGTATTTAGAGAGATGACTGTCACCTTAAAGACAAGCTCAGTTAATTGAATGAGTATTAAATTGATAAGTAATCGGGTTGAATAAGGTGATTAGACAGTGAATTTCAAGTAGTCTTTCCCTAAAGTTTCTTTCTATAGTTTTTTTATTGAAGTTAATTTCCAACGTGCTTTCTAGTTCAGTTATTGCTTTACATTTAATATATACAAAAGCACTCTAGTTCTTTTCAGTTCCTTCATTTTAATTATTAAATCTAGAGTTATACATATTCTTATGGCGTGATAATACATACTTATCTTTGAGAACAAGTGATTGGCGTAGTGGTAATACTACTAGTCTTCAATTTCGAGGTTCCAAGTTCGAATCCTTTAGAACTTGATTATAAAAATAAACTTATGTCACCTTTATCTAAAAAAAGATAACAAAGTTATCTTTATTACTCGATTAGTAATTTGCATACTCATTTTATCGTTTTAAATTCACATTTCTTCCTCTTTACCCCTTCCATCGTTTTAAAACACTTGCCATCTCCTTTATCCCTTTTAAATTCACATTTCTTCCTCTCGTTTTTATGTTTGTTGAGTGTCGAGAGGGAAAATCTCCAACCCCTATCTCTAGTCCCTCTGTTCCACCCTCCAATTGTCGGCGTCTGGTCGGCGATATCCCCATTCTTGTTCAAACTTCCACGTTGATGCATGCCGCCACCCTTCTAGCTTTCCCATCTTAAGTTAGTGTTGAATGTACCTCTTGCAACTACATGCTGCGAAATGACCTTTTTCATATATTAACTTAATCAAGAGCGATCTTCAAATTTGTTAAGTGAAAAATTTATGAACAACTGTTTAGTTGTGTATATAAAAAAAAGTTAGATTTGCAACATACGTTACAAATGTAATTAAGAAACCTTTCAGAATATTAAAGTTCATCGTGGTTTGTTGTAAAAATAATAACGAAATTGTAAAATGTATGAATAAAATTATTATATTTATTTTTAATTACCTAATTTTTATTCATTTAATCAATTAATATTTAATTTTCACTTATTTTTATTGGTTGATACACTTATCCTAGGTCTGTAACTGACGATAGTGATATGACATCATAAAATTTTCTTGTCAAACATAAGACCTTATACCAATATCATATCACTACCATATCAACATCATACAACTATGGTATCATGCCCCCGTTAGTGATAATATCGTGATATGATAGTGGTATGATGACTTGAAGTTTTTTTGTTAAAAAAATATTAAAATGGATATCATCGTATAAAACACAAAAAATATGATATTTCTATGTAATATATTTTGAAAATCGGTGTAAAACCAATGAGCTATGGTCCGTTGAATTTTCAGAAAAATTTTGAAAAATGCTTTAACAGTACACCTAGAAATCCGCACACATCTCCAAGAATCTTGCTAGCTATCCCAAAACTCCGGTTAGCTCTCTCCTAGGCCACTTTTTTCCCTCCTTACCCCCTTTTATGGGAGCAGATCCGGTGAGTAACCTTGTGGTGCTATAACCCCATGCATAACCCAATAAGAATAAGCTACATTAGCGTCTTCTTCTTCTCTCTCCTCGAAAAATCTTTGATTTCGTTCCCATAATCTTTAATGGACGATTTCTCACTCGTTTTAACTCGGAATTAAATTTTTTTTTGCTCAGTTAGATCAGATTAATTGTGCTCTTCAAAATGATATCCACTTTGATAGTTTTTGGAACAAAAAAATTTGCCAGTTATTACCAGTCTACCATATGGTATTGACTGGTATTAAATAACAACATACCATATGGTATGAAAAATACCACCCATACCAGGGTGGTATAGTATGGTATGTAGTTGGTAACGAGAGGTATGGAATTTTTTCACCCAAAATTTTTTGAAATCCAATAGCTCATGATTAAATCGTTCTTTCTGTGCAAAAATTTTCAAAAACGACTAAAAAACGAAGGAGATACCATATGATATGGAGTTGGTAACAAGAGGTATGAAAAATATTGAAAATGAATATCATTTTGTAGAGCACAACAAACTCGTTCCATCTGTGCAAAAAAAAAAAAAAAAAAAAAAGAAATTCGTGTTAGAATGAAGAAGATATGATCCAATCAAGAAACTAGGGAAAAAATTCTTTTAATTCTCCACCCTTAGATCTGCAGCCACTTAAAAGAAGGGTCGAGAATTGGTTACTCATAGTTATGCATCCTAAGGTTATGCACCCTATCTTGAACCCTTTTTATGACATGAACCATTAAATCTCTTTCTGAAATTAGTGATTACAACCATTAGATAAGGTTTTGTATGTAACCTAAGTCTTTATTTAATTAGATAACTTCCGGATTTTGATTTGTCACATATAGATAATATTTATTTGGGTTCGTTTACGTGAGTCTTCTTTATGAGACAATTTGGTTCAATTGACTTAAAATGAATCAATTAGAACAAATTGACTCATTTGAAAACAAAAAATGAAAATTGAAACATTTTGAAGTGGGGATATCATAATTTTTTCATTATGGATCAATTCAAAATACTCAGGATGGAGGGAAATATTTTCAATTGATCCATTTTGTCTCATCTTTCCCAATTCTGACCTTTTCCTTTACACTATGTTTCCGAAGGAAGGGAGGAAAAGGAGGGGAGGTGAAGGAAAATTAGGAAGGAAGGGGAGATTTGGAGGTGAAAGAAATTGGAAGGAAAATGTTGTTTTATGGAGGAAAGTGAGAAGGAAAATGTGTATTGGGGAGTGTGATGGAATATATCATATTCTTACTTTTGAATATATTACTTTATAAGTTAATATTATATTAGTACTTATTTTATTGATCATATAACCGTAAATGTTTAAAAATATATATATTTTTATTAAAAAACAACGTAATGTGGGTTATAAATACATGTTACATTTCATTCTTGGATTCCATGTATTAAAAATGAGCGAAGTTAATTATTAAATTGGTCAATGATGTCTATGTAGGTGAACTAATTTTTAAACTAATTAATCTTGTTTTGAAAAAAAAACCAATATAAAATTAAGGTGAGGCCGTGAAAGAGTGGTTTAATTGATTATTAAGTTAATTAATTATTAAAATAATTAAATAAGCATTGAAGTAAAAAAAAAGTAAACTCACGTCCTCCTTCTTTCCCTCCAATTCGGAGAGTTGGGTTCTACAGTGAAAAGGAAGGAAAGTTTTCCGTTCCTTTCTTTTCCCTCCTCCTTAAAAAAACAAGGTGATACATCTCGGGAATTGGGCTTTCTTTCCATATTTTCCTTTCCCCCTGCTTTCTTTCGTTGGGAAACAGAGTGTTAGTGACAAACCATTTCTCTTTCTTCCTCTCTTCTCTTAGACAGAGAAAAAGATTCCTCTTATCTTTCTTTCCCCTCTCTCTGCAGAGAAATCTATTCATTTTCTATTCTTCTATTTCATGTCTCTCTTTGATAAAAGGGAGAAAGGGCTCTCGAAGCAGAACCCATCGACGTTTGATGTAAATTAGTGATAATGTCATGAAATTATAATGTGGTCAGTCTTCAGCATTTCTGTTGGAAAGATTGACCACGTTATAATTTCATAACATTATCACTATAATAATATTAAATTTTTTTACTCAAAGATAAAAAGAATCATACCACTCTCCCACGATTATCTTACTACTATACTAAGACTAATAACGCATATCATACCAAAATGATATATTACTACGGTAAAACTTAATTATGATCTAACCTGTTGGAGCATTGAATTCCCAGCTCCATCAAGTCTTATGGATCATCTAGCTTCTCTAGTTCGAAAAGGAGGATTTCGAAGCTCATAAGGGTTCCCGAGATTGCAGAACATGGGATCAATCAACTCTGCAAAAAATCACGCTCCTGAAGTTTCTGAGCTTTAAGACTTGTTTCTTTGCATGCAGTGTCAGAATTCTTCTTGAGCGGATGCTCAAGCAAAGCCCCAGCTGCATGCCCTTGGGTTGGAGAGTGGCAGCGCCTAAAACTCTACCCT